AGAGAGAGAGAGAGAGAGAGAGAGAGAGGAAGAGAGATAGACAGACATGGCGTACGCATCGTCAATCGCAATTTCAAATTTAATAAAGTTTTCGCAATCTCGTAAACGTTAGCTATAAATTTGACAAACGTCGGTCTATTGGAAAATAACTCGAGCTTGTCGAATCTCGTCAAATTTAAAAATGCTTACGTATCTTTTACTTTCCAACGAATGACTGCGAGATTACACGGCGCGCGAGATTAATCGCAGAGGTTCAGTAACATTCATATATACATAGTTGTAGTATACGAACGCTAGCGTAACTATATAGATTGCAATGTAAAAAAGCGGGCGGACGGGCTTTTGCACAACGCGTAATACGTATAAGCATAAGATATAATTTTTCCATTTCCTTAAGGTGTAGTGTACGCACACGTGTATCGGGGATCTCGAATGATCGAGGCGACACGCGACGCGACCGCCTGGCGCCCGCGGTAGAAGAGGGTGGGGATAGCGCGCGTCTGAATAAGACAGTACGCGCCTAGGTGTAACGTGTAACCGCGCCACACGTAGCCAGACCGCCGAAACGGCCAGCCGCGCGAGATTCGCTATAATTATTTCAATTGTGAACAATGGGTTCTTACGGAAGCAAGTCTTCGTCGTCGACGGAACCCGAGGCGGCAACGACGTCGACGATCACCGCGACGACGACAACATCGGCGGCAACGACGTCGGCTGCGACGCCGTTGTCTTTGTTTTTTTCGGACCCGACTTTGCCAATAGCGTGCCGCCAGGGTCCAACGACGTCGTCGTCGACGACCACCATTACCACCACCTCGACGACACCGGCGGCTGCGACAAAGCCGGTGGTAATGGTGTCCAAGCAAACGCAGTGGCAGAAATCGCCGAAGTCGAAGAAGATCCTGAGACCGTCGACAATAAGCAGGACGTCGCAGCCGACGTCCAAGACTTGGGCCGCGTCGCCGCCTGCGAAGCCCGGAACCATGGGAAGGCACACTCAGTGGGACAGTCCCACTGAGAAGCCACGAAAGAGGCCGCGCAGAGTACGTTAACGGTTAAAAATTAATAATTCTCCACAGCGCAAAGGGGGGGGAGAGCACTTAAATTTATTTAATTTGTTTGTAATTTACAAATTTTTTCAGACAAACAAGCGCAACGAAAAGGCGCCACCGACGACGAGGAGACCGACGAGGTACCGGTCAACGCCCGGTCAGGGCGACCAGCAGCAGCAGCAGCAGCAGCCGCCATCGACGTCGTCGCAGGCGCCGCCTCCGTCATCATCAGGCGGATCCCAACCGACGGCGTCCACTGCTCCGTCGTCGACCGCGATATATTACGTTCCGATGATGCCACCTGCTGCTGCAGCTGCTGCGCCGCCGTCGGTGCAATATTATGCCCCTCCCCCATACTTACCCCCGACGCCACCATCGGGGTACTTTTCGCCGGGCGCTACCGCGCCGCCGCCAAGTTACTTCCCGCCGGGCGCCGGATACGCGCCGGGGACGGCGCCGCCGTATTTCCATCATATGCCGCCTTATTGAAAAAAAAGGGTAGGTAAAGATGTCGACCACTCTATGTACGCAACATGCGGCTACGTGTCAAATTATTAATAGATCGCGATATCTTACACACAAAAATTTATTTATTTTTAATAAAAACATTGTATTTATTTGTTATGTTTTTTATTTTTCAGACGCGGTGTTGCGGCGGATCTTGTTCGCGTCGGTTTTGCGGCGATCCGTTTTTTTTATTTTTTTTTCAACAATTATATACGAGTCGTTTTACTGGGCTAGTTAAACTGACAATACTACTTATATCGCATTGTAATTGTAAGGCAATTAGGAAAAATTATTATTTTTGTTACATTTTAATTATGGCTGTGCCTAACCCCTTTGTAATGGGAAATTATTTCCGAAAAACAAATAAATATATTGATTGATTGATTAAACTGATAAAAATGTAACCATACTTTTTCAAATACTTATCAATTACGCTTCAACTATATTAAAAATCATTAAAGTTTAAAATATTATTTTTATAAACTAAAATAGTCGCTGGCGCTTCGACGGTATTAAATATTTGAAAAAAAAATTGTGTTTTCTCTCGCGATATATTTTTACTTTCGTTAAATAATAAAAATTAATTTTAGTTTTCGATTATATTACTTTAGATAACGAAGAGTAGAACTGTAGTTTAAAATAACATTATATTCGTAGTTAATTCGTAGTTAATTTAAAAAATGGACAGCTTTGAACAAATTTTTTTACAATGGAACAATCGCTATTGGTCCAACGATAATAAACATCTATTTTCCGATATATTTTCTTCAAGTAATGAAAATTAATTCCAATTTATGTTAGTTGTACCGATCAAGATTTCAATCTTTAAATACACGCGTATAATTAATTTCACAAACGAAGACTCGCCGAAGAATACACTGCTTAACCAAGCAGAAGCGAATCTCGCGACAAAATTCTCATTTTCCATTATGTCAAGTACTCGAAGAAATACAGAAACAATAATCTTTACGTTAATTTTGCAATCTGTTTTACGCTCACGAATAGCTTTTTTCACAATGTTATTTCTTCCGTATATACGATATGTATTTATTCGACGAATAAACAGAAAACCAAAAATTCTGAGAAAATAACACTCTTATATAGCACAGTCCTTATATAATTACGTTCTCATATTATATCTATAAATTTATGTGCGCGTATATTAATTTATCTTACGTATATTCAATTTTGTTTACTATATATAGATGCACGTAGAGAAAACGAACAGAGTTGCGTGACGTGAGACATTTCGCTAACGAGTTCCTGAAATAAAACGTCGTTCGATCCACCGTTATAAATTTGCCACGGTCTAATATTATATCTCTTAATTCAACGAGGATGATTTCGTCGTACGACGCTGGAAAAAATATATCGTTCCAACATCGCGGAAAAGTATAATTTTTCTTCTATTCAAAAGCACATTGCGCACTTGATATATTAAAACACTTTCAACGGTGTACACGTCCGTTATACAGTTTACACGTACATCAGTTGACGATATTTAATTACATGCCGCACAAAAGAAGACAAATGAGACGAGAATAACGTAACGTCGATGAAAAGTATATCGCGCTTTTATTACGAGAATCGAGTTATATATCCTGCATTTTTCTGCGAATATTTAA